GTAGAAGAATGCTAATAGATTCATATTTATCACCCTGCACAAACACACAACTCAAAATGGACCAAAGATCTCAACATAAAACTAGGCACACTGAATCTGGTAGAAGAAAAAGTGGGGAATAGACTCAAACATATTGGCCCAGGAGAAGGCTTTCTGATCAGAACACCAATAGTGCAGACACTAAGATCAGCAATTATTAAATGAGACCCGGGGAAACTGAAAAGCTTCTATAAGGCAAAGGACACTATCATTCAGACAAAGTGACAGCCTACAGAATGGGAAAAATATTTTTCCCAGTTCCACATCCAGTAGAGGGCTAATATCCAAAATATATAAAGAACTTAATAAACTAGAGATAAAAAACCCAAATAAGCCAATTAAAAATGTGGTAGAGATCTAAACAGAAAACTCTCAGTACAGGATACTCAAATGACCAAAGGCACTTAAAGAATGTTCAATATCCTTAGCCATCAAGGAAATGCAAATCAAAATTACTTTGAGATTTCATCTTATACCTTTCAGAGTGGCTAATATCAAAACCACAAATGACAGTTCACACTGGTGAGAATATGGAACAAGGCAAGTACTCCTCCATTGCTGGTGGGAGAACAAATTTATACAGCCAGTATGGAAATCAGTATGACAATTTCTCAGAAAATTGGCAATCAATAAAGAACCAGGTATACCACTCTTGGGTATATACACAAAGGACACTCATCCTACCACAGGTTCACTTGCTAAACCATGTTCATTAGTGCTCTTTTTATAATGTCTAGAAATTAGAAACAATCTGGATGTCCATTCAATTAAAGAATGGATAAAGAAAATGTGGTACATTTACACAATGGAGTATTACTCAGTTGTTAAAAAAATGACACCATGAAATTTGCAGACAAATGGTTGAAACTAAAAAAAAAATCACTCAGAGGTAACCCAGACCCAGAAAGATAAATATCATATGTATTCACTTATATTTGGATATTAGCCATTAAATAAAGTGATAACTAAGTCACAATTAGATCCAGAGAGGTTAGATAGAGGAAGGAACTAGGAGGAACACATGGATCTCCCTGGTAGTGGAAAATAGAATAGATTTTATGGGTGGGCTGGAGCATGGCAGGGCAAGAAAGGGAAGATTGGGTGGGAAGGGAGAGGAAAGATGGGAATGAAGGAATAAGAGCTAGAACAGAAGAGCTTTAAACTCTGAGCTGTAGAGGAGCATTTGAGATGTGGTGTGAAATCCTAGTGCTGTGGAAACGTCCTATCATATATGAAGGTGAAGTCTTCTAATGAAGTCCCCAAATAATGTGGGAGACGGAACCCTTAATGTTCATCTCTTGTCACCAAATGAAGCTTCCAGTGCCGGACTGGGTTCTATTCAATTGGCCAAAGGGATCCCATGAAAATCCCCAAACAACCCAGGCTGTTGCCAAAACAGCAGGTTGTTCTCCACAAACTGACAGTAAAGCACCATTGATGAATACAACACCCACATAGCTCACTGAACATGAAAATGTTGAGCCAGTGCCTAAATAGAACCTTCATCCCCATGTTCTAGTATCTATGACATAGAAAAGTACTCTGCAGGCTACGAAAAGAGAAAAGTAAACACCAGTCCAACCACAAAACCTTTGGTCTACAATCTGTCCTGCCTTCAAAGTATGATAGGGCAATGGTGGCACAAACGTTGAGGGATTAACCAACCAATGTCTAATTTGACTTAAAACCCACTCCATGAGATGGAACCCATAATGAACAGTGCTTAGGTGACCAAGAACCAGAGTCTAATTAGCCCAAAGGTTTAGGGTAAAATCAAACACTACTGTTCTAAAAAAATATGTAACAACAAAAGAAGTCCTAATGATACTCTGCTATACTCATAGATTGTTGCTTTATTCGGCCTTCATCAGAGATGCCTGTTGTGATATTTTGTTTGTGTTCTGACAAATAAAGCTTGCCTGCAAAATCAGAGGGTGGAGCTAGTCACTGCTTAACCATAGAGGTCTGGAGGTCTATACAGACAGGAAACAGGAAGTGATATGGCTAGGCAGAAAGAGGAAGTGATAAGGCATTGTGGAGACAGGATCTCAGCCCTTTTTGGTCAGAGGAGTTGAGAGGTAAGAGGTGACTGTGTGACTGTGGCTGGTCCTTTACTTCTCTGATCTTTTAGTTTTTACCCTGATAGCTGACTCCACGTCAGATAAGACTAATTAGGATCATGTTTCAGATGCTTCCTCCTGCAGCAAATGGGAACAAATATAGAGACGCACAAAAAGGCACTGTATATAGAGAGTCCTTGGTACACAGCTCTAAATAGGATGGGCCCATCAAATCTCTTTCCTCAGAGCTCAGGAAATCCCAAAAAAGAGAAGGCAGAAGAGTCAGGGAGACAAAGGGATCTGAGGACACTAGGAGAGTAAGTCCCTCTGAAACAACTGAGCAAAGCTCACACAAACTTCCAGAGACTGGAGCAGCAAGCACAGGGCCTGCATGGCTCTGCACCAGGCCCTACTCAATTGCTTTTAGTGCTTTATGGGACTTTTGAATGTGAAATGAGTGGGCCTCTGATTGTTGTTCCTTCTCTTGTGGCTCTTTTATTTTTCTATTGGCTTGGCTTGTCCAACTTTTACATGAAGATTTTTATTTTATCTTATTATATTTTATTTTGTTATGTTTTGTTGTTATCTCCTAGAAGCCCATTCTTTTCTAATGAGAAACAGAAAAGGAATGGATCCAAATGCAAGAGGAGGCGGGGAGGAACTGGGAGCAGTAGAGAGAAGGGGAAACCATATTCAGATAAAAAGCAAAAATAAAAAAATATAAAAAGAGAAATTTTATTTAAACATCAATGAACACATTGTCCATAAAGTATCATAAAGCCATCTATCTCTTGGCTTTAAAATATTATTATCATTATTATTATTGGTGTGTGTGTGTGTGTGTGTGTGTGTGCAGGTGTGCACATTGTTGTGAGTGTGTGGAGGTCACAGGACAACCCTCAGGAGTTGACTCTTGCCTTTCATTGTGGAATTGGGGTTTGAACTCAGGTACTCACACTTGGTGGCAAGAGCTTTACCCTTTAACCAAGTCTCACCAGCCCTCTCCCATCTTATCTGAATAAAGCTTGGGTCCTGGTTAAAAGTAGGCTTGATATGCTCAACAATTTGTAACACATGAGATGTGCCAGGTACTGTGCAAGGCTCAAGGACTCTGCCAGCCACTGTGAGATAACCCCACGTATGCCATGTTTGATAGGTAGCCTAACAGGCTGGAACAGCATGCTGTTGTTTTCCTAGGGAGGATCTCTTTTCTAAATGCCCCCTGGCATTTACTGCTAAGGCCACATGAATCCTCCTCATCAAGTTATGAATCTGACATCCGTCAGCACTCAAAGGAGACAGGGCGTCTGCTTTTCCTTGGCAGACCCGACTTTCCCAGCAGCTGGCAGACTCCGGTGAGGTGGGAGCGGCTCCCCAGGTTCCGCCACTTGCCACTTTGCTTTGCGACAAAGCAGCCTCCTCCTGCTCTTTGTCCTGACAGGTATCTGTATGGAGCACCACCTAGACAGCTCAGTGACAGCTCTCCTCCTTGATCTTCTGCCTTGCTTCCCAGGGAGACGTCCTCGTGTCGTGTTTTATTCATGGTGTCTCCCTGGGTGCTTTCTTCATCATAAAAGTCAGTGGTGGGATGGGGCAGTAAATGGACCTGAAATAAAACTTGAGGGCAATAATAAAACCACCCGTTTGTCTTCTGAAACCCTACGGCCTTAGATTTTTGAGAGAAGAAGTGAATTTTGAGGACTTTTAAGGATGCCTCCATAGAGGAAGCAGAAAACCCAATATTGTTATTTATATTGAACTGGAGTCAAGAAAAAAGTAGGTCAGGGAGACCAAAATATCCTTTGTGGGGAAACATGGCAAACTTCAGATACCTTAGACTGCAGCCAGGAAAAATGATGGGATGGATGAGAAGTGGCCTGAAAGAAGCTCAAATGATAGCTAAGAAATGAGGCAAGAGGCCATGAAGATTATAGAGGAAATATTTATTCTACGTATCTTTAAAAGATTTCTTCACCTTAACTGCCATTGCCTTTCCTGAAGGAATGAGAGTTAACTGTCCTTATCTGTGGATCTATAACTTTGGGTTCCACCAAACTTAGGCCAGAAATATTGGAAAATAAGATTGTTTGTCTTGAGCATGTGCATGACATTTTCCTGTTTCCATATCTTTGTATAGCATAGCAACTGTTTATGCAGAACTTACATTGTATGAGGTTGGCAAGGAATATAGAGATGATTGTAGGTGTGTAGGTAGCGATATAGAGATGCTGTGTGAATTCTATGCTATCTTCTATAATGGACTTTACCATCTTCAGATTTGGGTGTCTCTGAAGAATTCTGGAACAAATTCCTCAGGAATAACAAGTGATAGCTGTGTATATTTTTATACTTCATAAGTTAAACATTTAAAGTAGAAAGTATAATATTAATTGTGTATTCCACCTGCCCCACTTCCCAAAAAGAATCATGGTGCATGTCTACTTGGGAGGCCAAGGCAGGGAAATCACAAGCTCAGGGCAAACCAGGGGAATATTATTATTATTACTTAGCATGTGTATGTCTGTGTGTGTTTCACATGTGTGGATTCCAGAAGCTAGAGCTACAGGCAATTCTGAAGCCAATGTGGATGCAGGAACTGAACTCATATCCTCCAGAAGAGCAGCAAATGTTCTTAATGACTGAGTCATCTCCTCAGTCCTTAGCCTGGGCAACTTAATGAGATTCTGCTACAAATTAAAAAGATGACTAGGGATATATCTCAGTGGCAGAGAACTTGACTTAGCATGTGCAAAGTCCTAGGTTTGATCCACAGTTTAAGAAACAAAACCAAAAAAAAAAAAAAAAACCTTCTCCCAGAAGAAATGGCCAAACAGTATAAGGTGGCGAGACTATAACATTATCTTAATATTGTGCTGTGATTGTCTACACACATATCAGTACCTTGAGGATTATGGTCTTCTCGTGCCGGGTGATGTTGACGCTGTGGGGTTGTCCATTGGCTATGCTCCTGTGGTCCACATCGATATTGTATGGCTCTTTGGTTCCTCCCAGGTTGTACCGGATCTGCAAGTTTCCTACGGGAGCAACAGGAAAGAGGCCCAGTGTTTTTTCACTGGAGGTCTATTTCAGGGTCACCTCACCCACTGCTGCAGCTCAGGCTTCACATAGACCCAGCCCCTTCCATGCCCACAGCTGCCATTTCAGTCGTGAATTTGGATCCACCACCCAGAGGCCTAGGCTAATTGTGCCAGAATGACACATGTTCACGTTTGCCAATGACAAACACCAGTGACCATTATCATCAAGTTGAAGCAGCAGATGGTATAAATGTTCTGAGTGGGGATGGCGCTCAAAAATGAAGAACGAGGACAAATACCATATAGTATGGTGGGGATGCCTATAAACCCACAAAATGCTACATGAAATAAAAAATAAATCTGGAATGCAGGGACTATCTCACTCCATCAGTACAGTCTGACATTTGGCGTATAAAGGAATCATGAGTCTTATTAAAAATAAACATAATTTGCAAAAAATAAGTGCATGGGATTTTGAGTGGCCTCACTGAGACCAAAGGGACAAGGTAATGAATCGTGTTCAGGGTTCAGGATTAATCAGATGCAATCTAAGGACAAGATGGATGTCCCAGGTGTCCTGAGCCCATTGATGACTCACTTTCTCTTTTCACTTCCCCCAACAAAGTGAAGACAATTTTTATTTCTTACTTGTAATCTTATTTATAATTTATAAACATTAATTTTATTTTCATTTTAAATTTAAATTGGTTTCATACACTTAATAATACTTGACATCTCAAAGGTTTAGGATGGGTCCAGCAGTCTCTAGCAAGAGTTTGATGAACGAGTCTGCAAGGTCCTTTGATCAGGAACAGTCTTCTGCTCCTACACTAAGGCGACCCACCCAGAGAGGTGAGTGCCAGCCTACCAGGCGGGCCTCAAGGACCCCCAAAGGGAGTGCGGACACCTTCAGCTGGTGCTCCAGGGTCTCTTGTGCTCTACTGGACCCCGCCTGCCACGTTCCTCCTTTTGTCCCCGGCTCATTGGGCTACCAGCCGTCCCTGTTTAGGTGCTGAGGAACTCCATCTGGAGGGGCGAGTGTGTGCTATCCAGGGGGGCATTGTCCTGGAAGAGACCACAACCCCTCCGGTCCCCCAGCTCCTTTTGCAGGGCTGTCTTTCTTACACACGACCTCCCCTCCCCCAAGCCTGCCTAGTCTGCAAGGTCCTTTGATCAGGAACAGTCTTCAGCTCCTACACTAAGGCTACCCACCCAGAGCGGTGAGTGCCTGCCTACCAGGCGGGCCTCAAGGACCCCCAAAGGAAGCACGGGCACCTTCAGCTTGCACGGCAGGGTCTCCTGTGTTCTACTAGACCCCGTCCTGCCCCTCAAGTTCGCCCTGTTGCCCGCGGGTCATTGGACTATCAGGCGTCCATGCTTTGGTGCTGAGGAGTTTCATCTGGACGGGAACGGTTCCTGCTTCTACACTGAGGAGATACACCCAGAGAGTTATTCACAGCAAAGTCTGGACCAAGATACCAGGCCTCTCCTGGCTCCATTTGAAGGAAGAGATGGGAAGGCGCCAATGCAAGAATTCCTCCAACAACCTGAAAGG